TTGCTATTGATCTCATGATCTCCCACTTTTTAGCCTGGTGCCTTAACTACTAGACCAAAATGGCTATTAATATCTGAATAGTATATTTATATTCATATATAATTACTATGTTATATATTTATACACGAATAATGGAATTATTCATCAACCATATGAGTAAATGCATATTTCTTAACCAGCTTACCAAAGTCAAATATAAAATGGTTATATAAAGTAAAGGGCTTTTAGTTGGTGCATAAAACACATTATGGTTTTGATTAAAATTATTTCACATTTTGACATGGAATACTTATATTTCAACCTACCGCTTTGTTACATCAGGGATCCTGAAGTGTTTGGGTTTTGTTCGGGTTTTTTTGAGGGAGAGAGGGTGGGTGAGGCAGAGACAGCCAATATTAAATTATCAATTAAATGTGAAAAAGAAGTAAATGGCACTGAAAAGAGAAAGATAATGAATAGCATGAAAAGATTGTTTGCTTTTAAGCACTAGCTCTTTACCCACACTTTGAGCTCAGCTTATTTAGGTGACCCTTCTTAGACACCCAGAACCTTCTTAGTAGAGTTCTGTTCTGAAGGAACTAAGAAAGAGTGTTGAGTTTTAGAAAAAGTGGACTTCTCTTTCTCTAACATTAACATAAAGATTTTTCTGATGGTTCAAGAAGGTCAATAGGTCTTGAGCCAGCAGAAAATTATTAGCCTAAAATTTGCTGTTTCCACTGGTGATCTTTATCTGTCACATATACAAGGATATTACAATACAAGCCCTTAACAGCGAACAAGACACATTAAGAACAGGACTGGGTGGATTCCCCCTGCTTTGTTTCACTGCCTTTCCACCAAACAGGCAGCTGGAAAACATTCACCAATCACTCTTCTACATGCGAGATACAACTGGGCTTGGGGAAGGAGACGAGTTTTGACAATGACTAGACTGGCTGTTTTAATAATCTTTCAAAAACTTGTTCTGGTTTTGCAGTTTTTTTGTTGATGCACTCAAAAGAAGCTCAATTATTAGGTAACTGGGCTCCTTTTAAATATAGGCTTAACATGCTCCAGAAATGTTCATAAGCAGCCAAAAAAATAGCTGACAGGCACAGGTGGGGCTGAATAAGGAGCAAGGAAAGAATCTCGGCTCTTTCTGTTTCTGCTGCCACTGCTGCTCAGTTGTTGTTTAAGATAATCTAGGCTAACTACCTGGGGGAAAGGAATCAAAGAGAGACCCCATTTTGAAAGAATAATGCCCAGAGACTGCTTGGAAGGGATATATATCCCTGTACCAATCTAAAATGGCTGATGGAAGCCATGCTGATCTCACCAAGGGTAACTAAGGAATAGCTGACAGAATGCAGTTACTGATATCCAAGGAAAGCTTATGTTGGCATAAGGCAGGGCTGTCAAAGTTGCAGCCCACGGGCCGGATGTGTCATGTGTTGGCCAGGCCCATGCCCAGTTTAGCGAAGGGGGAAAAATCCCGATACATCAGGTAACACTGCTGTGACGACACAAGTTTGACACCCCTGGCATAAGGGGAAAACACTAATTTAACAAAGGTAGAGCTATGGATGATTTAAGGCTGCTTCAATATGGGCTGGGGATCAGGTGAAGGAAATGTCACAAGGTCACAGCTACCACAGTTACTTGCATGTGAGGAAAGGTTTTCAGTTTATTACTGTGTAAAGGGTAATTTAGCATCTCTGTCCATTCTTAGAATATGATTTCTAAATATCTTTGCCTTATTCTCCCTTGGCCTCTGCCCTGTTTTGAACCAACAGTAAAGCAGGTGAAAGTCCCTTCTTTAAACATCTATATCAGCATTTCTTAACTTTGGCAACTTTAAGAGAAGTAGATTTCAATTCCCTCCCTGCCAACTATGCTGGTTAGGGAATTCAGGAAATTGAGGTTCACCTATTTTAAAATTGCCAAGTTGAGAATTGTTAATCTATATTATTTGCAAAATAATCCAACCCACCCCATATTTTTTTTAAAAAAATATGTTGACATTATTTATAGAAAACAAGATATTTAACCAAAAGGACTCCCAAATATCATATATAGTCTTATCTACGTCTCTTGATCCAATTAAAGATTTAAATGGGAAATATAACTAGAAAGAAGAAAGTGAAGCAAGTATCGAGAAATTTAGATATATTTAAAAATGTGCTAGCAGCATGCTATTTAATGTTGTTTTTTGACTGCAGTTTCTAGAAGATCCTCATTCAAAATTTCAAAGACTATTGGATCAATGCTTCTTTCACTAAGGAACAATTTATCTTAACTCCCATTGCAGTCCATAAACCTGTCATTTTGAGTATGTTGTTGTAACCTCCTATTTTTGATGGAATGTGCTGAGGATCAAATCAAGAGCTCACCATTTTTAAGGCTGAGTCAAGGGCAAGAATAATTTGTTGCTTTACGTCTTGCCAGAATAGGGTAAGGATAGGACAAAACCATAACATATTGATTAAAGGTACTCCAGACTGCAGTCTATCTCCAGCAAGATCTGTAAATCCAGGTTGATGTTATTGGTCAAAGGTCCAATGAACATGCAAGGCAATTATTTCAAATTATGAATAACATACAGTAGGTCTAATGAGAATTAGATTAAAATAGAATTCCACTGCAATGAAGAATGTATAATCCAGCTTCATCGCTTTTCTACTTAAACTGTGGAAAGATTTATTCATCACTCTGTATAGGGCTGGTTATTTATTAATTTCAAGATGGAGAAAGCATCAGGAATTTCCAGTGCAATCCGAGCCTCAGGACCAAGTTTAGCACCAGAGCTCAAATACTTCCAAATGCTAAAGAAGGTAAATTAAATTCCAATTTACAATCCAGTTGTATTTAAGGCAATTGCCTCCTATTACTTATTTCTCCAAACTGCTGCGCTTCAGTTGTTTTGGTACTATAACTCTCTGAATTCCTGATTAGCAATTACAATTTCTTATACTGAAATAGTACAGTCCACCATATGATAGAGCAGGGGTGTCAAAGTGGTAGCCTGCGGGCTGGATGCATTACATGTGGGCCATGCCCACCCCAGCTCCATGAAGGGAAAAAACATCGTGATATGTCATGTGGCAGCAATGTGACCAGGAGAGTTTGACACCTATGCGATAAATACAACACTTCTGATTCATCGCTGAGAAGTTTTCTGCAGAACTTTTGTTCTTGCTCCTAATTTTAAGGTGTGATGATTTGTCCTAATAAAGGCGTATCTTTCTCTGGCAAATATTTTTATTCCCAAGGAACCTATTAAATACTTCTTTGGTGCCAACTCCAATCTATTTTACCCTGAAGTTAAAAGTAAAAGAATTGGTGAAAATTAAAGTATCACCAGTTCCAATGAAATGCATTTACGCATATATTTAACTGTTTGGGATGATACCAATGGGTTATAACAGTGCATAAGTATCTTAGATCACACTCCTTATTTCATGCCAGGAAACTTCAAAATCCGCATTTGAAAAAAAGCTATATGAGAAGGCTTGCCTTTGCCATGTATTTCAAACCAGCCTTCTTTCTTTTGTGCGTGCAGTGTCTCTTGAGTGGTTTACTGCTGTGAAAACAGTCAGGTTCTCACAACATCAGCATTCTCATTTGATGAGCTCAAGTAGAAGCAGTTGCTATTTTGTCCAAATAGTTTTCTCTATCCAGTAAAGTGGCAAGGGAAATAATCAAAGAATGCAAAACACAGAAAGGTATTATCTTAATTGCAAGATCACCTGATATATTTCTCTAGCGAGAGATTCCCTTTCCAAAGAATAGCATTTTCTTAAAGGCAACATAACAGATTACCTCAAACTTGCAGTGCAGCCAAAAATATCAGACTTCTGGTCAGTGCAGGTCCTGGAAAATTGTACTTTCTGATTCCATTATAGCTACTCTGAAAGACTATCTGGCCCTGCCAAAGATGAAACCATTCCCACAGATCCCCTCCCCCAATCCTCCAACACACTTTTAGTATGTATTTGCTGACTTGACAGAAAGGTAGAAAGTTCACATTTATTGAGTTCATCTGTGTTTTGTTTGGGCTTTGCTTTCTTCTCCTTGGAAATCAGGTCCATTCATACAACATGGTTAACTTGGTTAAAGTCATAGCAGTTGCTGTATAGTAATACAATATACACTACATCTTGTTACTTTCAAAATGTTAGTTTTTCTGCAAATTATCCTGCTAGGTCAGGGGTGTCAAACTCATGTCGTCACGGCAGTGTCATGTGGGGTATTGGGACTTTCCCCCCCTTCGCTAAACTGGGCGTGGGCAGCATGTGACCCGTGGGTCGGGAGTCTGACAGCCCTGTGCTAGGTGAACCTGAAGGTTATATGCAAAACACTTAAATCTGACAACTGATTTTCTGGGTTTGTTGAGTAACCTGACCAAGTGGACTTGATTCACTCAAGGTTCCAAGACACAAAAAAGTCAAGATCAACCATACTTAACATGTGCAGTAAACAAGCCTGCTACCTCGATCCAGCTAAATGTATTGTATGAATGAAGTCACTAATTTTAAGAAAGAACTGTATATACAGTACACCATTACTTTAACAAGACATGCAACATATCTTGTTAAAGTAATGTTCTGTCCCATTTGATTGGGATAGGAAGCCTGTTGTGAGATTTAGACTTAAAAGCCTACTTATAGGCTGGGAATTATGGGGAATCAAAGCTATTCACATCTGCAAGGCACTAGGTTTTGGAAGGTTACAATTATGCAATGTAATTGTACTCCACTATTGAAAAACTTAAGAGAATAGGGAAATCTGAACTGCAATAAAAATGAAGATACTATTTTAATTATAACACTAGTGTACATAGCTCATGACACAGAGATCCATTTTGTTCATATATCATACTTAACCTGGTTAAAGTCATAGCAGTTGCTAAACAGTGCTGCTACTACTACTAGTTAGAACTATGTAATGGGAATACTGTGCGTTAAATGATACATTTTGAAATAGTCCATTCTTTCATAATTATAAAGCAGTCACAAACACAATTTTACATATTTATTCTTTATTGTATTGCACAAAGTATCTACGCAACTCAGGGCCATCACAATAGTCCCTGAATACCAATTGCTCTAGCACAACCTCTTCTGAGCATTGTAACTAGTTGGTGCTTCCTTCTAAAATGTAAAAGAATCCATCACAAAATTTTAAACATTTGTCAATATTAATAACCGATAGGACAAAGTTAAAAGATCAAAATATGGATTTTATGTGAATGCACACAAATATACAGTTTATACTCAGATTCTCAAAAAAAGGGAAAGAAACAACAGTTCTCTGGTGCAATCACAAGAGTTTCTGTTTGTAGAAGTTGTTAAAAGTGTAATGTGCATAGAAATAGATTTCAGCTCATAAAATAATGCAGCTTTAACTTCACTTTATTTCTTCAGATTGTCTAGTACTGAAAATGTATTGGCGTAAGAGCTTGCACAGGAATCGCCCTTAACTTTAGTGGCACCAGTTTGTATTGGCTACACATTCTTAATTGTTGAACAGAAAAAGCCATTCCCATTTCAGCTTAGAACTATACATTAACACTAAACAATAACAGTGCAGCCAGAATGAAAAAAAAACATTGCTAATATAATAACAACAATAGTTATAGTAGTACTAGTAAAAAGAATTTCATCATTCTGGGGAGTTACAAATAATTTTGAACTAATTATTTTTATTTCATAAAACTTCTGCCTGGCATACACGGAATATTTGAGAATCAAAAACTTTCTGATTTTCAGAATAAGTTCAAATATTACATTGACATCTCTTGTTTTAATGAAACATTTTAATACAGCTGAAAATTGTGTCATTAAAATATGTACTCATTTGAAAACATTTGCCATGCTAAAAAATATGTAAAAAAATAGTTTAAAGTCATTTGTTTTTAGAAAACATGTCAATTGCAAAAAGAACCAATTTCTTTATATACACACAAAAGGGCACAATCCATCCAAAGGTAAGCCTATTTCTTTTCCATTTATTCTCAATAGCTGAGATTTAAATATTTACTTAATTTTGCTCATTCAGATCAGTTGAGGTTTGACACCTTTTTATGAATAAGCAAAAAAACACTGTGAGACTACTGAAAAAAAAAATCAGCAATGCATTAGATTGCAACTTTAATCGCTTGACATTGGATGGATGATGTCTGCACATTTCAAATATATTTATTTGAAGAAAACTGAGAGGGCACAAAGCAGCAAGTTCTATGATTTGTTTTTGTCCATTACACTGAGTACTTCATCCAAAAGTGAGGGTCCGAGGTCAAGCTGCAAAGAAAGGAGGGGCTCTGCCAGGTCTGACAGAAGGTCGTCTGATTTAGGCTGCATCTTGGTTTGATCACATGACAGATGGGGGTTGTCAAGGAACTCCTCTGTTTGCCATTTGGTGTATTGTTCTGAATGGCTAGTTGAATGGCTGCCTGTTCCATTAGAATAATACGATGCTGGCGCTTTCTGCTTCCATGTGATGTCATCTTTGTATATTTTCCCATTCTCTAAGTGTTTGCTCTTCTCCTGCAACTTTTCTTCCATTACGGGCTCACAACTATGCCTGGGATTCCTCAGGGGTCCCAACGAGTCCCGCTTTGAATTAAATGTCACTGGTGACAACAAGGGCAACATAAGGGCTTGAGAACCACCGATGGCAGGAAGCGATATGGCATTTTTAAGGACGGGAGAAGGAGTTTCAATAAACACTGAGTCAGAAGTGCTGTTTGCCCTTAGGAATTCATTGCATCCTTCATATTGGCTGGCTGCTGTTTCTCCCTCATTTCCAGGTAGAAGCTCATAATTTCCTTTCAGAAAAGAGATGTCTCCAAACACATCATGTTGTCCTTCTTTCCCAATGTGAATTGTGTGGCGGAAGTCACCCAAGGGTGGACTGATCATATCTGGAGATAAAATGTCCCTCAACTTGAATTTCTTTCCTTTCTTATTATTGTCAGCTTTCAAGTAGATGGGTGTTTTGGCTGGCATCTTTTGACTATATGTGGAAAGAGAAGACTTTGTCTTCTTTGTTAAAAAAAAAAAAAAAGGAGAGGGGTCAAAATACTATAGATGTACAAAATCTTTTTCTCCAACCAATTCTTTTGTGTTAGTATAAATCTATGCTACATTATTGATTGCAGTATCATTTATAAAAACATTCATATAACTACCACGGATTCCGTCTCACAAACAAAATTTTGTTTGTTGTATTTATGAATAGTATGTTTCTTTAAGATGACAGAGAGAGCTAGAATGTGGTGTTGTTTTCTCTCCCAACCCTGTAAAGAAAAAAGAAAAAAGCTTAGTATTTACTCTTTATAATACATTCAATCTCTATTACACAAACAATGAATGGTACTTTTAATAGTTCTGGCCTGATTACCTCTGTAAAATAGCTTTTCTTCATTAAGCAAGATAAAAAAAATAATCTAAATATGAGCTAACTAGCCTTTTTTCTAACTTGGCTCCTTAGACACAATTGCCAAACACAACTATCTTAATAAATTTACTATTGTGGTTTCATTTTTTTTGTTCTATCATGGAATAGAATTCTTATCTTCAGTGGTCAAACTTAAGGACATTCCGTTTAAACATCTATGCCAAAAAGGACCTTCACGTTTATTAGCCTTTGAAACACAAAGTTGAAATATGTTTCTATTTGAGGTTTTAAAGGTCAAAGACAAAACTGTTTAAATAAATGCCTAGAAATCTTTTGACTCATCCAGGTGATTAGTTCAAATATGATTAGTTCAAATACTGGCCTAACTTCCTATTTGTATAATGTGGCAAATTCTGTTTCAAGTAATACTTCATCCAGGGAGTTTAATGAGTTGGGGTAAATTGTCCTGATACCTGTGTGTGGTGTGTGTGTATCCATATCAACATACAGATGCAGAAATCTTAGGTTGCAAGTGAAGATTAAGTATAAATATTGAAATCATAATCTTAGTATTAAAACTGTAGTTTCAAACCTTACTGACATGTTTTGTTCCTGTCCAAATTTGCTTTTAGTGGCTGGCTTCCAATTTTAGGGCAAAACAATTTAACAAAATGAAACCATGATTAAATTATCAGTTAAAAGCCACCCATTGAAATCTAGCCTTGTTATAGTAACCAATTAAATAATCGCTTCCTCAACGAACAAATGGATTTTAAGCTGTGAAAGCCGATTTCAATAAGGATTCAAATTAACTTCCTATTCTGAATGTCATATATTTCATAAAGAAAGACACAAAACAAGTAGTAGTTACTCTAATACATACAAAAGTATAAGTGACTCTTCCCATAATAAATAGAAGAGAGGCACTTTCTTTCAAGAAACAAAAAATACTAGAAATATATAAAATTGTATTCCAATTATATAACAATAGAAAAAAGAAAATAACTGAATATTCTAAATCAGAAGCCCTTAAATTTTGCAACACTATAGCCCTATAAAATTAAAAGACAATTCTTCAAAATTCTCAGAATGTTGCTCTTAACAGAATTTATTGTAAATAACTCATTTAAAAATATTCGAAGTATAAGAAAGAAAAATATGCTGAAACTAAGAGTAACCTACCATGGGGATAAGGAAAAAATGAAACTTTGCAGGATTGAGTGAAGCCAAGTGCCTTCAAGAAGGAACTGTATTGTGAAAAGCAAGGGAACAGAAAATGTTCCCAATGTTTGAAGATCCAAGTGGCTTTCACAACAAGGTATTATGATAACCAAAGAGAGGATGAAAGGCTTGAGCAATGAGATAGAGGCATGCACAATGACTGGGAACAGGGTTTTATCTTCGAGCAAGAAAGAATAAGAAAAGATATGTAAATCAAGAATGTCAATAACTAGAGGAATATAACCAGAAAACGGAAATGAGAGCTCTTTTAAGAGAAATCACAGGGAAATATAGGTAGACCAAGAACACTCTCAAGAATAATCATGATCTGATAGAACAAATGAGATTGAAGAAAAGAAGTTGGAACAGATAAATATGTACACGTACTAAAAATGCAAATAGGAGATTAAGGAGGAATGCAACAAAAATGTAGATAAGATTATGGAGGATAAGGTTATTTCTGTAACAGCAAAGCTGTTAGGCAATAGTCTTTCTAGTAGTAATATGTGAAACACGAATACTGTGAAAAATAAGGGAAGAAATAGAAATCTTTAAATTATGGGTTTGGAGTTAGATTCTAAAAATAACAAACTTTAAGAAGAATCAATCAATCATGCAAAGGTCCCTCATGATATTTAAGATTGCTTGGAGTGGTTTGTTAAGGTTTGTTAAGAGTGTGCCTGCACTCTTCGTGTTCTCAGATCTGATTGTATTATTATTCCTGTAGTTGAAAAGCAGTAAAAAACCCAAAAAATCATGGTTGCTTTTTTTGTCCATGCTTCCCATACGGCTAAAAAAAATCCAAAATATACCACAGGTATTATTTCATCTCTTGAAAAAGGTGGGATGATAATGCCTATAGAAAATAGAAGGAACCATAATCTGTGGCTCTCTGGCTTCTGTAACGTCAAGCTGAAAAATGTGCTAATTGACTAGTATGTTGAAGAGGGTTTTCTGATATGCCTGTTAGCTAAGTGCCTGATAACATATTTTATTTGTTTAAAAAACTTTTTCTCAATGGGTAAAAACAAAGTTGTGCTTCCATTGTTTCCTGTGAAGATTTATTTTATTGTTTTCAAAAATATTTAAAAATCATACTCTACGCTAAATTTTCTAAAATTTAAGTGGTAGGCAGCACTATAAGACTACTACTCAACTACTACCCGATTGCTTGCAGTCATGGGTAAAAAAAATCAAATAGCTGATCAAAATACCTAAATCATATTCTTATTTAAGGGACAAATCATAGTGTAAAGAAATAGATTGCTTGAGTTTCTAGAGATATTTGGAATATAAATCTTTCTGATAAAATGCATTTAGAAGCAGTAAACCTATCCTATCATGGTTCTACATGTAATTGCTCAGAATTTGAACCCAACAGCTTAAAAAAGTATAACACCGATCTGGGTTGGTCACTGGGACCAGACATTTAATCTCATACTGGAGCCCATCTTCAGGGCACTTGTCAGGAACCGAAAGCTTGGAAGACTAAACCTCTGGTGACTGACCCAGTTTGGATCCTTTAAAATTAACCTGGGACACATATTCTTAAGTATAACAAAATCCACATCTCTTCTCCAGAAGGTGCCTCTCTGTGCCCTCAAAATATGTTTTTGGAAAAATGTGTATTTAAACGTGTGTATTTAATAAGTATTTAATTTAAGAGCCAAGGTGGCACAGTGGTTAGAATGCAGTATTGCAAGCTAACTCTGCCCACAGCCAGGAGTTCAATCTGACTGGCTCAAGAATAACTCAGCCTTCCATCCTTCTGAGGATGATAAAATGAAGACCCAAATTGTTGGGGGCAATATGCTGATACTATAAACTCCTCAGAGAGTGCTGTGCACAGTCACTCATGCCCTCGTCACCTCTCGCCTTGACTACTGCAACGCTCTCTACATGGGGCTCCCCTTGAAGAGCACCCGGAGGCTCCAACTGGTCCAGAATGCAGCAGCGCGGGTAGTGACGGGAGCAGCATGGCGCTCCCACGTAACACCGCTCCTGCACGAGCTGCACTGGCTCTCAGTGGTCTTCCGGGTGCACTTCAAGGTGCTGGTTATCACCTTTAAAGCGCTCCATGGCATAGGGCCTAGCTATCTTCGAGACCGCCTGCTGCTACCGAAGACCTTCCATCGTCCCGTGCGCTCCCACAGAGAGGGCCTCCTCAGGGTGCCATCAGCCAATCAATGTAGGCTGGTGACCCCCAGGGGGAGGGCCTTCTCTGTGGGGGCACCTACCCTCTGGAATCAGTTGCCCCCAGAGATAAGGAGAATCCAAGACCTTAGTGCCTTCTGCCGTGCCCTTAAAACCCACTTTTTCCAGCAAGCCGGGCTGGCTTAAGAAGAAATTTTAAATGTTTTAATTGGTTTGTATTTTTAATTTTGGGCCAAATTTATATATATTTTAATTGTTTTTTAATATTTGTATTTTATGTTTTTTAATTCTGGCTGTACACCGCCCTGAGTCCTCAGGGAGAAGGGCGGTATATAAATTTAAAATAAATAAATAAATAAATAAATAAATAAATAAATAAATAAATAAATATAAGTTTAAGTACCATTGCTATTTAATTTAAGAAATCAACTGTTTGTGACAGACTGGCTTATGGGAAATACTCACCTTTCGTTGTCTTTATAATGTTGCAAAGTTTGTGTTGTTGCAGTAGACGGTAGATCTGAAAGAGAAGAAGAGGCAAAACTGAAATAATAATATATGTGATAAACGCATATTAAAATGTATTATAAATTATTTAAATAGTCCATTTTATATTTTGATAATCCTCTCCTGTCTCTTTAGTGCTTCTTCCATTGACCTATTTCAAATCATCTCATATGGAAAATCTGAACCAATGACAAGTTTTGTACAACAACAAAAGAATTGTACATTTGTGAACATAAGTTTGTTAATTATCTTATAGATTGTGTAAGGTTCACTAATTTATTAGGAGAAATGTTCATTTGAAATACTGAAATCAGTTATGAAATCCACACTTAACAAAACTAGGGTTACAATGACAATTTAGAACACAGCTAGATAATAAAAGCTATGTTACTCATTGTTTAGATTTACACAATTCTTTTCCAAGCTTGCAACAGAATGTAGAAATTTAGAAATAAGGCAAGCCCCTAGAAAGAAAAAAAAAACTATTAGTGTGATCTAGGTAAGTTTGAAATTAGTCATTTTGACCATTTAAAAATATTTATGGTATTCTTCTGGAACATTTGTAAATCTCAGTTACATCTGTGGATTTTAAGACAGCTATGCTAACTTGTGTTTTATTGTAACCAATAGGTTTGAAGTTTTAGTTCATCAATCATCTGAATGGGGAGAGTTGCAAGCTTTATTTTAAATAAATAATTGAACTTGCATGTCTTTATCTCTGTCTTTTTCTCTATCTCAAGTGAAACAAATAAACAGTCATTAGAAAGGAAGACTGTATGTATACATGTCACCTATTTAATGTTTTTATTCTTCATTTCAAAAAAACAACCAATTTCTTTTTAATATTTAGATATTAAAATGATAGAGAATGTGAGGATTGCAGCCTCCAGAATTTTTTGCTATATAATCCAAATATGTCAGAGTGCAGAATGTAACAATCAATAAAATTTACGAATTATAAATAACTTATAAATATTATAAATTATATTATAAATAACCCAGTTTACACTTGGATTTTCTTTTGCTAAAGTCCCGTTATATGATTTGTGAGTAGCTATTCAACCTACTGTGGGAAATTTACAAGTTTGTTGATGGATTTAAGGTAAACGAGCAGAAATTGGTATAAATGTTATGAAGCTGGAATGATGAGAGTTGAACTTTTTCAGTGGACTTGTGAGTTTTTCATTTACCCATTACAAACTGGATAGACCTGAAAATTATGGCTTTGTAGAGTTTCTTTGCCCAATATCAATAGTTATTCTTCAAATGTTATGAGATTAGTATAAATGTTTGTGTAATAGCTGCCAGGAAAGGACACTAGTACTGTAAGACTATTTGTGGAAAAACTATGTGCATATAAATCTGAGAAACCTGGGCAAATAATGGCTGGTGCAGAAAGCATGAAACCAGTTTTATATCTTCACAAAAAGAGAGCAAGAAATAAAAACATAGTAGAGTCAAAATATTGCTAATGTGCATTGAATTAGTGAAAAGACAAGCAAGAAAATACATGCAAACCATTATCTTTAAGTTAGTTTATTGCTTATATTTGACGTAAGCCAATGTTTATTCTTACTCTATATATTAGCCTTCGAGGTTTAATTCAGTAATTCCACCTCTGCATGCCACATGCAGCTGGACTGATCTATGTTAGCCTTTGCACCACAGAATTGCCCTTAAAAATCCTAATATAGCATTTATATGTGTGTATGTGTCTCTCTGTATTCGTGTATGTGTGTACAATATGTGTATATATGACATGATCACAATTAAAAAAACATAAAAAAGTAAAATGAGCAAAAATCCATATTTTTTAAAAAAAAACATAAGAGCATGGCAGCATATAAAAATTCATCTGTAATATTAATTTTAAATTGTCCATAGCAGAGGTAACTTATTGCCATAATTAAACAAGGGAGGCTAAATATGAGTTGACCAATTGTTAAGTAAAGGATTCTTCAAATCATTTTGCTGAATTGTTAATTTTGCTACTAATATTTTCTGTGTTTTAAATACAATTTGTCCCTGAATGATGGATTATGTACTTTAGTTTTCCATTATTGGATGGAAAATGGAATTGTCATTTGCAGTCACAACATATGAAAATTTTTAAATGAAAACTAGGAAGCTTCTTATTCATTTTAATATTCCATATTTCTATAATAAGATGAAACAAATTGGAGAAAATGGATTTTAGTAACCCAATTTATTATTTTTTTAAATATCTGCTCTATTAATCTTTACTATTTATGCTAAAGTTCAGTAGTAAAGTTATGTCCGAATTTCCAGTTACAACATTTTAAGCTTTTCTGAAGAACACAATTTTCATATAGCACAAAATACCCAAACAACACATTTGTTAGACATTGTTGATTATTACTGATCCTTACATGTGTTTGAAAATTGCTATAGATAATTTCCAGTTTAGTTTGCCCACCACACTCCCAATCAATCCCCACATCCAGATCATAGCAAGCTCACATATTACTCCCTACAGGTACCATAAATATAGCTTGATATTTACTAAACATCAACAAAAACCAAATACTGTATGGATAATAATAGTATGAGAATTAGCATCAACAATCCCAAATGGAGTGGTCTTTGGTTAGGTTTCATCTTTTTTATGTACATAATGGCAGCAGACTAGAAATGGAATCCCTCCTCTATTTTGCACCATTAAAGAAACAATTTGATGGGTGGGGATGATGTATCCAACAAAAGGTTGTATGGATGAATCACAGAAGGCCTGATTCAACATTGTCATGGTTGGGTGCCGCTTGGCAACTCTATTTATCCATGTTAGTCTTTTATATAATTAAAGGTTAATACCCTAAATATCCCAAGTAAACCCTGTCTTCTGATTTCCATGTTTGTAATGAGTATTGCCAAATAACTCACTCTTTTTTGTCTGTGCGACTGTAAAGGAGTTTCCCAGATCACAAGTTTCTATGCAAAGAACAGCGCCTCCACAAAAATATAAGACATCTGATTTTGTCTTTTCTGTGAATGATAACTTTCCAAACCAATTTAATGAGGATCAGTCAAAATGGAAGAAAGGATGCACAAGCGTTCAGTTTTTGCAAAGCTCTTCACCAGATTATATGCAAACTAAGGAAAAGAAACAAAAATGTTTTTAAAATATAGGTACACTGACTGAGCTTTGAGGCCTGACATGTAAATCAGTCTCAAACTGCAGTATATAAGTACTAATTAGTACTGTAACTATTCATTAGAGTTAGATGTTGGAGGAGTAAGTCACACCTGTGATTCAAAAGGAAAAAATAATAGCTTCTCTCTTTTTAGTTTCCACCCTCTGCCCATTCTGAGGCACAATGGATATTGATTCAGGTTCTGGCTCTCAATGAAATAGGTTAAGTTCCTGGCCTAGAACAGAGCAGAAATAAACTTTATACTAGGAAATTTCCACAAGTACACTTTCAAAAAGGGATGCTTAAGGAGATACTACCATGTGATTTCCTGAATCTTTCAATATGCACTAAATCTGAGAATAGTTTGCAAGAGCACAGTTGCTTGACAGAATGGCTCTTGAAATAGAGCACAACACAAGGGATTTCTAAATTAATTGTATGCTGGGATGTAACGATATGAGATGGCATTCTAATGAATTTGTTCCATATGTTTCAGGAGTTGTCTTCTTGAATCTGAGAAGCCTGCTTCTATTTTGGTTCAGCCTCTCTGTGAAGAGGCTGTGCATTTGGGAAGGCAGAATTCCAATTCAAGCACGATTAGAAATATCAGGAAGTATCTATTGACCTTGAATGAGTTTAAATATGCAGGATTGGATGGGTTGCACTTAGGTTACAGATAGTTTGGCAGAATCTTTATGTATTCTCTCTGAGAAATTTTGCAAAACAGGAGAAAAACCAGATGACTTGGAAAAAGGCAAATGTTCATATCTTGAAAAGGGAGGGAATGGAGAACTGGGGAACTACGGAATTTGTCAAGGCCAGCCTCGTCAGACTAAATCTTGTTTATTTATTATTCCAATAGAGGTAATGAAAATGCCGTGGACACACTATTTCTTGATATTTGATAAAGTACATGTCCGCCTTCCAAGGTAGGCCAAATTTGGAAACCAAAAACATATCAGCTAATACTACTTTTATTATAAGGTTATATAGTAACAGAATCTTGCACGCTGAGATGTGCTTCTCTCCCACCCACCTCCTTTATCGTCTTGCAAATTAGGGAGATCCTTGCTTGAGATGTTGACTCAAATTGCATTCTGCCTGAGACTCTGATTTTTTTTTTTTTAATCTAACCCTTGTTATGTTGCATTTCTTTCTCTTCTTCCTCAAGGTTATTCTTTTTACCCATTACAGTAACCCATGATTTTCTGTTCAATACTATTAAAATACAAGGGCTGGATAAAAAGTATTTGATAACAGTTTTTCATCAGACTGGAATATAATATATGAACTGTAGGACCAAGATAGTTTAAGAACTTAACAATATGAACAAAAGAGGTGGAGGAAATGCTTATCATATTTGTAGATGACAGAAATTTAGGTGGGATAGATAATGTTGTAGAACAGTGTTTCTTAAACATTTTTTTCCCTCTCGGGACTCTTTCTACTTATAAAAATTATTAAGGCTCCATAAGAGTTTTTCTATGAATTATATTTATTGATATTTACCATACTAAAAATTAAAATTGATGCATTTTCTGCTACTTCTTCTTACGATTGTTTGAAGTGATTTAAATATTGTATTATTTTTCAATGTAGGCTGGCAAACTATTTTGATCTTGCAGACCCCTAAGAGAGTCTTGGGGGATGATGAAGGGTTCTAGGACCACACTTTAAGAAACAGTGTTCTAGAACGTTTCTCAACTGTGGCAAGTTTAAGATGTGTGGTCTTCAATGCTTGCTGTGGAATTCTGGGAGTTGAAGTCCATGAACTTTAAAGTTGCCAAAGCTGAGAAACACTGTTCTGGAAGGCAGAAAATTCAAAATTATATTGATAAGTTAAAGAAGGGAGCTGAAATAA